ATTTATTAATATATATAATATAATTTAGATATTAATACTTTATCAAATATAAAGAACTAGCAATATGGTTGAGTTTAGTAAGAACTGCCAGACCTGCAAATTTTTTTAATTTGCTAAGAGCTTCTGGACACTGAAAATGGAGGGTTAGTAATTATTGAATTTCCATTTATCACTCAACCCAAGCCACAATATTTTCCTTAAAGAAATTGCATTATATTCGATTTATCATTAGGAGTCGTGGTAGTGAAGCGTCGAACACTCTGGCTCTTTGATAACTGCAAATTTTGCTTTAAATCAAGGAAGAGACGTTTTACAGCGCCTAGCTCCCCTTTAAACTCGCGCCATGCGGAAGCAACCATTTAATGGTGATAAACTCATTGAATCTACTGATAATATAATAGAAAACTTTAAATTCAACTTACCTCCACATCAAAAAAGTTTTTTTTGACATTCACGCTTTAGACTTCGGTGAAAAAGATATCAAGCAAGAAAAACACAGCGAGCCGATAATTGTTGATTATATCAACCGTACCTGTTGATGTAGATGACTTATATTAGCAAGTGGACTATCTACAAACACGACTTTATAGCTCTTTTAGAGCTAGAACTGAAGATAAAATAGAGAGTTCAACGGGAATAAAATATCACTAATAGCTAGTGCTAGATGATTCCTTCCGTAGGATGAATAATGACCTTTAAAATTATCATGTTTTATATTACAATAATCTTTTATTTCTTTAAGGGTTCATGAAATTTACATTATCTTGGTTGTTAGAATATTTACAAACAGATGCTAATTTAGAAGAGATCACTAAGAAGTTAACTCACATAGGGTTAGAAGTAGAAAATGTTGTTAATAATTCAACGTTAGCTAAATTTGTTGTTGCAGAAGTATTAGAAGTTACATCGCATCCAAACGCTGATAAATTAAGATTATGTCAAGTGAATGACGGAAGTAAAATTCTGCAAATAGTCTGTGGAGCAAATAACGTTAGAAACAACATGAAAACAGTGCTTGCATCAGTAGGTAGTACACTGCCAGCAAGTAACTTCACAATTAAACCCACAAAAATACGTGGCGTGCTAAGTGAAGGAATGCTCTGCTCCGCTTCCGAATTGGCGCTCACTCAAGAGGAGAGTGAAGGAATAATAGAACTTTCCGATGATTACACAGTGGGAAGCAAGTTTTTTAATTGTGATACCGTAATTGATGTTAATATCACTCCAAATCGTGGAGATTGCTTGAGCATCTATGGAATAGCTCGAGATTTAGCTGCAACTGGAATAGGTGAACTGAAAGCTGTAAGTATTCCACAAATCACTGGTTCTATAAGCTCACCAATCGATGTTGAAGTAACTGATGGAAAGAGCTTCATCAGTGGCCGATATATTGCAAATGTACAAAATAAACAAAGCCCAAAATGGTTAAAAGATAAGCTAGAATCAATAGGAATGCGTTCCATTTCTACAATAGTTGATATCACTAATTACGTTATGATATCCTTTGGCCGTCCACTGCATGCATATGATGCAGATAAAATGGATAAAAAACTTACAGTGAGAAAAGCAGGTAATAAGGAGATCTTTACTGCTTTGAATGAGAAAGAATATTTACTTGATAATGATATAAATGTTATTTCTGATAAT